AGGCCGACCATTTTGTTTTATATCACCAATGTTATTAATAAAGAATAAACCTCTTTAATCAATGTAGACACTAAATTAAGAAATCAACAAATATTTTTCCAGTTTTGTTGTCTATACAATTCATTCTATACTTTCAGTACATTTCAGGAACTTACCGACGTTTGATTGCTTCGACTGCACTTTTCTGCCTCTTTGTTGGTCAAGCTTGATTTCGCAAAATTTATTTATTTCAGTTAGCTTTGAAATGTGAAGTTACGGTGTACCATGGAGTGGGGGGTGGTAGTACTTGCCCCGTCATTTTTGACGGGCTATACACTAGTATAATTTTAATCAACACACAAGCTCTTGTGACATTGAGTTAAACATTAACACAATCTAGTTTAACAAACAAATCCAATAAATTGCCCTTTTCTAGATTTCCACAGAAAAGTTAAACACACCATCAGACTAATCTATACGTCAAGCATGCTAACTTTAACCCGGCAATACAGATGCTGAATAGAAAGTAACAAGCTACACTGAACATATAATGAACTAATCCAGCCATTAATGTAGCTACGACCTAAGACACCCAGGGCTAATCAGAGAGTTTTACAGGGTGTCCGAATAGTCTGGAACCATAGATGATTTGCAGATTTTCTCAATTTCAGGGACGTGAATAATTATGGCGCTGCCAAAGTATGAGAAGGTCGAGTTGATCCTGCTGTTAACTCAAACTTATTTCGAAATACAAGGACAGCGTGTGGAACACATTCTGTAAAATTCATTGAAGTGCCAATGGTTCTAGACTTTTCGGACTCATTGTAGATTAAACAGAAAACAATCTATGTGAAGCTTACATAGCCAATAATTACAAATAATACATAGAATGAGAAAAATAAAATAATAAAATGATCACACACTAACTCAATACACATCACAGGACCTGGATAAATGAAGTACATAGTCAAATAAAACTTCCCAAAATGTTTGCTAAATCTTCCTTGTTTTTTGATTATCAGTACAGGTGATGACCGTGTACTTTCTGGTGTCTGTCCTTCAACATCCATCGATTTCAATACTGGCTATATCTCTAAAATTCCGAATAAGCTGGCGTGGTGGTTTCTTGATAGGATAAGCACCGCCAGTTTCAATGTAATGGTGGTAGCTTATTTCAGGTGGCTGCTAAGGGATACAGACATATCAATATACACAACCAGCATTTCACTGAGTTTGCTCTTCTGGTGTATATCCATAGTTACCTCAGATGCTCTGTGTTTGTTCAGTGTGTCTGAAGTATTGTTATTACTGTGCTAGTGCCACTTGCCACGCTATTCCTAATACCATGTTCTTGCTGTAATCTTTCTCAGTTATCTCAGATGCTCTGTGTTTAGTCAGTGTGGCTGAAGTGGCTAAAGTATTTCTGTTACTGTGCCAGTACCACTTACCATATTATCCCTAGTATCATGTTGTTGCTGTAATTTTCTCTCGAATACCTCAGATGCTCTGTGTTTAATCAGTGTGGTCGAAGTGGCTGAAGTATTGCTATTACTGTGCTAGTACCACTTATCATACTATTCCCAGTACCATTTCATCACTCATAGCTCTTTTTTTCTCTAATCACACACCATAATTGGAAGATACACTGTGCCAGAGACATTACCATCTGAACAAGCGAAGCTGGGTATCTAGACAGAAAAAGAGTAACGTTAATGTGCAACCTACATTACTACATACACGTGCAGTACAACCCGTAGCTGCGTTCATAGTTTACCACAATATACTTGTGCTTATGCTGGACTAATTACTTCATCTTGTAAGTGCACTCTTGCAGTTCACCGTTCCTTGACTTTACATGGTCAGATTTGATGACCTTATCACAAAGCTGCAGTTCACCTGTTCCACAAGCAGTAGGTCGATATCTAAGACACGTATGCCTGAAAGAAGATCAGTTTCAACTGAATTCATTCTGCGAATGATAGTATTAAAAATGAAACACAGCTGACCATAACGTATCATCTGTAGCTAATATCCATTAGCTTGTAAGATGCCAATGTTCACTGGCCTGAGTGGTGGATTTGGTGGAAATGTCTGAAACACTGCAACATCAAGCATACTCATGGCTGCTTCAGTACTAATTTGAAACTCAACCTCAACTTCATGCCTAAGTATGATTTCAGGCACACATCAAATAGTGGTTAAGCACATATATATCATTGTGTCAATCCATGTGAATGGCTAAACTCGACCTGGGGCTAGCTAACTTAAATTAGATGGTCTTACTACTCCGTAAACTCCCCTTTGACCATTTTACTACTTCTTGACAATGGGGACATTGTCCCCTTGACAGTTCTAATTTCTTTCGTAAGTTGTGACCGATCGTTCTTTACTTTATCACAGAAAAAGAATGTGATGTGTTGTTTAGCTGTTTCAGGATACAGTTAAATACTTTGTATGTGTCTTACTGCGCATACTCACCTGGATGTAGTTTAAAACTGTTTGAAGATCAAGAAAACGTCTGTAGACAGTTGACAGAAAATAAATATGGGAACAAATGTCCTGTATATATTGCGTATTCAATTCACCGTAAGGATTTACAAATACATTACGTATCCACCACAATACGGCAGATAAAAGAATCGATTAGAAGCACTGTCCTACTTTCAAGACCAATGAAAGTCAAAGAGTGGAATGTGAGTGTGTTGCTTTCCCTTGCTGACCAAGTATAAGAATGGACTAATGTGTAAAACTTACCGATGCTGCTCATTCAGCATTTCTAGTTAACTACCCTTGTAATAAAGCTATGATCTAAAGTGTGCCTTGTGTTAACACTGTTCTGTGTTTAGGGGTGATTGATAAAATACTGAATCATGAATTTAGAATTTTGAAGCTTTGTACTGTCAGTTACGGTTTATGTTTTTGGTGGAACGCTCCCGAAGAAGCTGTAAAGCGAAACGTTGAGTGTCTAAATAAAAACAACAATTTGGTGTTATAAGGTCGCTTATTTCAATATTAAAGTATTAAATATAATGATTAAAAGTTTCATGTTTGTTCGGGTGTTATCAAGTGCAAAGCTACTCAATAGCCTATCTGTGCTTTGTCCATCATGGGTATCAAAACCAGATTTTTAGCGTAATAAACCCACACGTGCCACCAGGAAGAAAAGATTTAGTGTATTAATAAACTTTGTATATTAAACAGGTTTTAAAGATGACAGAGTTATGATGTACATTAATATTGTAGTATCATATATAATTAAACAATTACAATATGTGTGCTATCATATATAATTAAACAGTTACAATATGTGCGCTATCATATATAATTAAACAGTTACAATATGTGCTATCATATATAATTAAACAGTTAAAATATGTGATTTCATACATAATTAAACAGTTACAATATAATCGTGTTTTAACACAGAAACAGTCTGTGTTTAATGAATATCATACAAATTTGTATATATATGTTAAAGGGACAATAGATAGAATATCATACATATTTGCATATATATGTTAAAGGGACAATAGAGAGAATATCATACATATTTGCATATATATGTTAAAGGGACAATAGAGAGAATATCATACATATTTGCATATATATGTTAAAGGGACAATAGAGAGAATATCATACATATTTGCATATATATGTTAAAGGGACAATAGAGAGAATATCATACATATTTGCATATATATGTTAAAGGGACAATAGAGAGAATATCATACATATTTGTTTTATATTGATTTATTTCAGTGTATTGAAAACTTTAAGAAGTATTCTTGAAGACATCTGATGATAGTTTAAAATAATATACACAGAAAGATGATGCTTCCAGGTAATGTCTTTCTTTTAATTTTATTTTTTGGCTCACTGTGTAGAATTGTAATATATGTTTTGTATTTTTGTTTGTTTGTTTGTAGTTAAGCGCAAAGCTACACAATGGGTTATCTGCGCTGTGCTCACCACAGGTATCAAACTTGGTTTCTAGCGTTGTAAGCCCTCAAATTTACCACTGAGCCACTGAAAGCTGTGCTTTTGAAAACATGAAAAAATGTAGCTATTTTATGCATTTTTAGTACAATTGTACAGAATTTGGTGCATTATTATTAATTGTACAAGATCATTGTATTAGGCTTATTATTATTTTTAACACAATATTCTTTATTCACTGGGTAAAGAATGTAGTGTTCAAAATAGAATAGGCCTAATACTAATGTCTTATGAGAAGCATAATTAATTAGGAGCGTGCTTTGCCAGTTTAGAAAAAGCGTTCACACCATAAAAAATATTGTGCGTTGTTATTGTTGTATCTGTTTCTATTGTTGGACAAGTTTTTCCACTTATTTGGTAAAAAAAGGTGAATGCAAAGTTCAGTCCGAGTGAAGTTTCATATTTATTGAAAAGCTTCCTTACTAGAGTCTTCACTTTCTGGGTAGGAACAGGATGTGCTTTTGGCCAGATACTGAAATAGTCTATTTCCATCAAGATTAATTTATTCCAAGTATTACTGTGTGGCAGAATATCACACCCATCAACAGCAACTCTCTCAATTGAGGCTCAAGAACAATACTTCTAAAGATTCCCATGTTGTTTTCTTCATGGATCTTTTTCACTTACAGCACAGTTCATACAATTTACACCACTCCTAAATACCCAACCCAGCAGTAACATTTTCTTATTCTCTCTAGTGTCTTCTTAACATATAAGTGTCCAGCTGTTGGGAAGTTGTGGAGGCAATGGGTGCTTCTAACTGCAGTTACTGGAAGTACCAAATTAAGTCATAATACCTGTCCACTGGTATATTCATATTTTCACAAGAAATGCCTTTTCATAGACATAACGAATCTCACTGTTCCCAGTACACCTTTATCTGTGTACTTTACTGAGTGTCTGCCACAAGGATTGTTCAGCACCGTTTTTAATTCACTGAATAATTGGCTTAATATTCAAATGGTTTGTCTGACATCTTTCAGATGAGTTTTGGACCATATTTGTTCTTCCTCATCTGTGGGTGTCTCAGATTGGATTCTTTTCTTTAACACCTTTATTATATTGTGAGTTTCTTTTTTCCACATTGTTTACATTCTTTGGTAATAGAAGGTTTTCAGGATAATGTAGAAGTTGTGCCTCCGAAGCCACTTTATTATCCGGCCTTTT